GTAAATGGGGCGCAAATGGGGCTCCCATTTACTGAAATACCATGAATTTCGATCCCCCCATTCCAAACGTGAGTACCCCAGGCCATTTCCGTTACAATGTTTTCAATATTTTTCACGTACTTTCGGTAAGTGCGGTGCGCCCCGATAGCCCCTTAAAAGGAATGATCCTGTATTGTTTTTTATTTTTTAGGATCAACTGAAGTACTACCAAAACCCGAAAAATAGAAGAATGCCTGAACATATTAACTTGACACGTCCATTTGTTATGAGTTACACTGATAGATGGAATCTTTACTTTAGTTGGATAGATCAGTATGTGGCTTGGGTACGGTAAGTACGTTTTATGTATAAGAAACCAAAAAATGTAGTACAGGGTGTCGGCTAAGGAATCCGAGAGAATTCCAATTTAAAGCAGATTATTTTTACTTCCGGAATTTTCTGAACAATTTATGAAATTTCGGTTTATGGGTAGTTGTTGGTAATCAGATGCTTGGTAATAAATAATGCGCAATTTGCATCGAATTATAAAAAAATGACGACTGGCAGTTCGGTAATTGTCATCATTGACACTTGGTTAAATTGGCTGAAACTTTGTTAAATTAAAAACATGGCTTTCATTATTCAAATGAAGAATAGTGGATATTGCCACGGTAATGTAGCAGTTTTTTAGCCAAGTTATTAGATCAAGTGCACCTTTTTTTGTATCATTTGCAGACATAACCCAAGTGTCCAGAAATAACAGGTTCTTCCACCGGGTTCTTGCCAGTGGCATGGCTAAAAACATGTCCTTTTACTACATATTTTTGACTAACATTCTCAACATATCTTTAGTTGATCATCAACGCTGGTTTTTTTGAATGTAGACATTTTGAAAACGATCAATCTGACATTTCACTTTTCAACGTCTTCAACAAACAACCATGTTCCTCGCCTAAATTACAGGCTTTTGAATGTATCATTTGCTGAGTCCAACTCTTGAAGATTATAAAGGCCCATTTATAAACTTGACGTTTGCGTTTGCGTTCACCGGTACCGTTTGCGTCGAAATTCAAGTATTAGAAACATTTATAAAAACCGCTGGCCGGTACCGTTTTCGTTTCGTGCCGCTCGATTTGAACGAATTTCATTTCTTGCCGATGAACGTTCGTAGAACAGCCGTAGTACTGGCGTAAACCTGTTTTTGGTTCATACATGTTTCACTTTTGAATAATTAGTCAAAAAGCTTTTAAACCTACTTATATTATTAACTTGGAAACCTTTAAATAATTGAAATGTTTTCATTTTATTAATAAATTGGATTCCTTTAATTATACCTTCCAGTTTATAAAACATAAGAAACGCTAACATAAAACATAAGAAATTTCTACAGCGCGCATTACATTTTCAAACATTGTTTTACATACGAATACAAAAACATTCTAACATTTATTTTTCGTTTATTTTTTATTTTGTTTCTGATGATCTTTTGCTTTGAAGATTAATAACTTTTTGCATTAAGCCCCTGAGTATATCAAAAGTTATTAAACTATTTGTGAGATGTTGGTAATTGCCACAAATCAAAATTTTTTTGGTCCTTCAAGTTGTCACAACATTAGCAATAATCAGTTCTGGCAAAGGAATAAAACAAAAACAGAATCTGTAATTAAGTTTTGTTGTATTTGTAGGAAAATGTACACGGCGAATAGCATTGCATTTCGAAATACATTTCAAGTATATCAAGAGATGCAAGAAATTGAGAACACACAAATAATGCGACAAAAAATGGTCGTTGGAATAACCACTACGGGAGCTGCACGATTTAAATCATCGATACAGGTACGTCCCACTTTTCAGGTATGTGCGAAGCTGAAGAAACCCGTGGTATGAAAATGCTTACCGTAACTCACTCAAGAAAGATGCGCATGGTTGTTGTTAAGCTCGCCCCTGGTCCACAAAATAGTATTCAACAAGGCGTCCGATTTTTTTTCATTTTAACCCTTGTAGAGAACATATTTCTCGACTTTTTCATGGCCATAAACTCAACTCCTTAGTGAAGGTGGCTTCACATTAATTGGATGGGCTATGTTGTGCTATATGGTTTCAAGAACATTAAATTCTCTGTATAACGTCGCTACTTAGTATAATTAAAAATTGACCCACACGTTAATAAAATAAATATGCCATTCATCTAACATTGCATACAATGTGAGTTTTTAGGAACAAATTTTGTAAATCAAATACATCATTTTTGGATATATACTTGGCCATCTCGGTTAGTATTTTAAATAGTGCCCTTTTTCATTTAAGTAAAATGTATACAGTGGGTTTCAAATTTGAGTTGTGAGGTCATTGATTATTTTTTAAATAATTCTACTTTTTTAAGACTATTCATATAATAGTTATAACAACCTGTACAAAGTTGTAATTTTCTCTATTTACAAAATATTTAACAAACATGAACTAATTTGAAAAAGCAAAAATTTTATTTACTCAATAATGAGATAATTTAAATATGGAATGTTAAAAGGTATTCGTTTATCAAGGTTTTTGAAACTGTGTCGATGATGACAATATTAGGTGAATAAGTTAAATCAAAACAAGTAAGAAAAGTAGCATGGTATTGAGCGAACATGTTCAGTAGTTCCTAGTGTGAGAAACACCGTTTATTGAGTCGATCAAAATTCCGAACTTAACTGATACCTACAATATTGAAATTTCTATGGTGATTGGTTAAAATAACAAAAGGACAGGAAATAAAAGAAATGTATTCATTCGCTTATTCAGTTCTGTTTTGTCAACAAAAATCGCATTTTCTAATTAAAAAAGGCAAGGAGAGATATAAAGTCAAGATCTTTTTACATTTGTCCCGTATTCTGTAACTGCATATCACTGATCCCTTAAAACAAATTGCATCATTTTTTGAATCACCGCTTATTTATTGCTCAAACCGTAGTAATATTATTTAGTATCGACTAATAGTTTACAGAGAGATATAATTGTGACTTCCCTATTGTAGGCTTTGCGATGTCCAATTGTAATAGTCGAAGAAGCGGCTGAAGTACTAGAAGCTCATATTGTAGCTTCATTGACCAATAACTGTCAACATCTTATTTTAATTGGAGATCATCTACAGCTGAAACCCGGTGCAGCTGATTATCGAATGCAAATTAAATATAAATTAGGTGAGACACAAAATTTATTGTTCGGTTATTATAGCGGTAATGTTTGTGTGCCTGGGCTGTGCAACGAAAATTGCCTCCAGCGAACGTTGGGAGGCCGGCGCATCGTAAGAGATCGACTGTGCATACCGGCCTTAGAAACGTCTAATTTTCGCATAATACAGGAACTATTTAAGAAAAATGGAGGGATTTCTGATCTTGGACAAAAGACACTGGCAATATATGGAATGTGCCATTTGAAAAAAGTATATTTCAATTTAAAAATATGCTAACTTGACCGTGGTTTATGATCACCTAATATAGTATGCTTTTTCACTCTTGTTAAATTTCAAAATTTTGTGATGAAGTTGTAGGAGAAATTGTCAGCTCCATCAAAATGTCATCGTTAGCTATTGTTTAACTATTAATTTTTGCTCAATTTTTCAAAAATAAATGTATATATATTTGGGTGAACACCCGATATGTAATTGTATTTCACTTTTTAAGTTACTGTTGAACTACTACTGTGTCACAATAAATTAAAGATGTGTGGCATCATTAAATACGACTAGGACGAGTACTTGAATAACGGATCCAAAGTCTAGTCTAGTAAAGTAATTGAATCTCAGAACACTAGTATCGGTTGTTATTTTTTAGCTAAATTCTATTTGTGATTGAATTTAGGAGTTTATTATGCATGTTTATATGGCTTTGACTTGTTTTGATATAATATCTAAGAAATATGCGCCTTTGTTGAATGATCGAAAACGCCATTTTATAACGAAACTAGAACGTAGCAAAAAATGGTCCATCGAACTGAACATATTTACTCAAAATCCATATCTGCTTTAATTTTACAGGTATCAGTTTATTTGAAAGGATGGTGCTTAACAATGTGACATGCCACACGCTCAATGTTCAGCACCGAATGAAACCGAATATCTGCAAGCTTATAAGGCCACACATTTATCCGCAATTGACGGATCATGAGTCAACTTTAAGTAGACCACCAATTTTAGGTAATACTTCATATAAATATCACCTCTAATTGATGACCATGATTTTACATCAGATGTTCAATGAGGATGTCAATCCATTAGTTTTAAACTCTTTGACTGCGTAAACGACAAAAGTGTTCTTTTTAGTACAATGCACAGGAACTCAATAAAATATGTGTAAATTTCAAATAATAGTTAATAAGGCGTACAACATAAGTTGTTTGTCAATATTTGGAACATTACGAAACCAGCTCCGTATTAGTTCCAACAAAAATCGAAATAGTCTAACTGGTTTTAATAATGAGTGTTTTAGAGCTCTATTTGTTATTACTATTCTTAATATTGATTTTAAGTTATCTAATTATTCATTTCAAACATTTATCAAAAAATTTCAACAAAATGAATTAATAAACGAGTTGACGCCCAGAAAGTTTAGGTTTTAAAAACGTTTCAAATGACCCATTAAAATTGTATGTCATTTTAATGTTCTGTCGCAAATTTGCCGAAAGGTTTTGACATTTCTATACTAATACTATTCTAAAATTTTTGCAAAATTTATTTAGGTAACAACGCTTTAACATTAATAAGATGTTATAACTTTTTGCCTTATTTTAAATTGAGGCACGTACTTACAGAATGTTATGTCTACTGATACGTTTTATCCATAGGTATTTATTTGTCGTTCTTTGCCATCCTTAGAACATATTGTGTAATTGAAAATTTATATTTAACGTTTTAATATCTTGCAGGGGTCCAGGGATGCCTATATTTCATTGATCATCAACAACCAGAGGAACTATGTCAAGATGAAAGTAAAAAGAATGTACATGAATCTACATTTCTGATAGCTTTCGCGAGATATTTAATTTTAAATGGCTACAAGTCCAATCAAATTACTATTTTGGCTACGTATTTGGGGCAGATGTTCGAGATGCTCCATGAAAAAAATAAACCGATCAATGTTGATTTGTTAAAAGACGTAAGGATTTCTGTCCTAGACAATTATCAAGGTTGTTAATTAAGCATTATTACTATTTTGATTCATTATATTTTATATATTTCTTTTGCAGGAGAAGAATCTGATATAGTACTATTATCTCTTGTAAGAAGTAATACGGACAACAACATCGGATTTCTTCGGATTCAAAATAGAGTTTGTGTAGCTTTGTCAAGAGCTCGAAATGGACTATTTATTATCGGAAATATGTCGATTTTGCTAAATTCTAACAGCGAAAATGAGGTAGTGCTGTTTAGTACGTTTTTCAGATTATGTTTAAAACTTTTAAATGTATTTGCAATTATTTTAAGTCACTACGGAAAGCAAGAAATTGTTTTTATTACACATATCGATGTCATATCTTATATTATTTTTTGATGGGACGCACTTTATATTGTTGGGTCAAATTCCTCTGATTTTCATAATAGAATGATTGGCCACGATATAATTGGGCCAGCAAACAGTTTCTAGTTTATTATTGGTAAATAACAGGACATATTTCTTATGGTCATGGCAACACCATACAATGGATTTCTATAAACTCTGATTTGTTGAAAGTTCGACCATTTCATGTAATAAACCTCTGTTGACATTTTATTTTGAGTCAAGGTAGTTGTTTATACAGGGTTATTCACGCTATACGGCACGGACGTTTGCGGCTAGCCCGTTTGTTTTTTGCAAAGTATTATTTCATGAATCCACAGACGCCTATCGG